ACCTGCTTTACTGCATCCTGTGCTGCTGCCGGGGGCGGGCGTGACTGTGCACACACATTTTAACCTAATTTTAGTAGATTCCATTTGCTATTGTCAATTTGCCTCCCCTTCTTCAGTCTTGTGCCCTGGCTATGCTGACATTCTGGTCATCCTCCAGAGTGAGAGTGGCTGGAGCTGGTCGTGTCATTCCAAGTGGTCAGCCTGGTGGCCCTCTAGGGTCCTCATTTAAGGAAGTCCAGATAAAATGATTGCGGAGCTTCTTCCCCAGATGACATGCACTCAGTCATGTGTCAGGATCCCATCCCTCAGTACCCATTTCTCCTGTTTATCTGTAGGGTATTGGGAGAAAAATGCATCTCATTAAAATTGGAAGACTATTCTTCAGCCAAAGGAGGAAGGTGCAGCATCATGAATGAATGTTGCAGACATGATTGCTAAGCTGAAGTCGTCAGACACAAAAGGACAGATGTTATCAGGTTCCTCTTCCACGGGGTGTCTAGAAATGGTCACAGCCATAGAGATGAAATGTAGAATGGTGATTGTAGGGGATGGGGAATGAGGCCCCCCAGAGATTTGCTGTGAGTAAGTAGAGATAAAGGCTCCATTTGGGAAGATGCAAATGCTGTGGAGCTGGGTGGCTGGGTGGCAGTGATGATGCCACACCCACATAAAGGTACCAGTGCCATTCATCTGGACACTTAGAAATGGTTAGAAAGTAAGTTTGATGTTAGATATGTTTTACTACAAAGAGATTGTTATGCCATATGCAACTTGTATGGTATACATAACCCTGGAGCTAAACCCCCAGAATTGGGAAATTTGGTCAATTTCATGTAAGTTACTTGATGATCATGACATTCTTTTCCAAGTGCTCACCAAGCAAAAAGTAAGGCTTTATTCAAGATTTTGCCACTTAACTCTATTCAGCTTCCTGGAATTTTGCCTTTTTTGGAAAGAGATTAGTGTCATTTTCTAATTTGGATTTTCTTACCATAAAATGTGTGGCTTCCCGCTGTCCCAAAGATGAATTAGACTCAGTCTTTACCCCTCAAGATGTCAACTGGGCACTAACAGTTGTTTGGGAGTTCCACTTTTATGTACTTTAGAATTGTCATATTTTAAAGTATTGAGAAATTCAGAACTCACAGTAAAATAGATTAGGCTGAGCAGACAGACCATGATCTAGACCAGATTCTCCTTCTAGAAAGAAAAGCCATGGCGAGTAGGAAGGGGCTGCTCTCCTAGGTTCATTCAGCAGGTGATGGTTTCCAAGGCGTGTGACTGCTGATTAGCACAACCACTGCTGTGAAGAATGAGGACAAGTGGCAGGAAAAGGCCCCCAAGGGCAGGGCTCAGACACCCGGGCAGACAACACCCAAGAACCCCCCTCCCGGGGGGCAGCCCTCAGCCCCCAGCTGGAGGGCAGGTGGAGTCTCCAGGGGAGATGGAAGGCATAAATAATTTGTGAGAATAAGAACAAAGATTGGCGGTCAGATGGGAGCCCATTCCTATGAACTGGGAAAATGGGCACATAATGGGGGTCAAAGTTGGATCCCCATGATTAGGTGACCAGTCCAGAGTTCAGCCGTGAGCATCAGTCTAGCAGGAAGACAAATGAGTAAAGTCTTTATTTGGTCAATGAAAAGGACAGGGCAAGAACAGCCAGAGGGTAGAGGAAAGAGGCAGGTTTTAGTAGAAAAGATCTATCAATGAATGAAAGCAAATTAATGTAGCTCAAAGCCATTCCAGAATTCCAGGGAATCACATCCAAGCAATAATCAAATGTTGAAATGTATTTTCCACCAGTGACAAGACTAGTCTTGATGCAGGATTGGAATGTGAAGCAAGTGTCTGATTGGCTGTCATGCTGGGCCAGAGCGTGGTGGGCATGTGGGATGTGGGCTGTCGTGTGGGGCTGGAGCGTGGTGTGGGATGTCGACATCGGTGCCCAACAACCGGGGCATCGCCTGGAAGAATAAGACCAGCGGTGGTTACTGGAGGCATCTCTCCAACAACCCGCCCAGGATGTTCTGCATCCTGGGAACACTGTAGGACTCCCAGAAGAACACAAGATCTAATCAGCAGTTCTTGGAATATTTAATAGGAAGCTGGAAAATTCAAATATCTGTCTATGCTGTAATTATTAGCAACGGGGGAGCAATAACACTCCTGCTCCCCACACTGTCCTGTCTCAGGTGGGGGAAACACTTGGCAACAATAAAGCCTCATTCACTGCTCTCAGAAGACATACCCTCTTGTCCTCCCTGGTGAAGAAGTACCCTTGTGTGTGTGTGTGCACACACACACACACACACACACACACACACACACCCCAAGCACGCCTGTGCTCACCAGCTCACGCCCCTTCTAGTGTGGTTGTGGAGAAGAACAGACTCCCTGCCTCCCTAGTTTGAGCCGTGCAGTGGGTGGGAACACTCCCTAGATGGCCTGGGTGCCAAGCTTGGGGGGAGATGAAAAAGACCCATGAAATGAGAGGGGGTGGCATAACAGTGACATTGGGGCCCCACTTTCTTCCATGAAGCAGAATTGTACCTTCCTTTTCATATTTCCGTTGAAGGATGCCTTATCTGAAATCTGGAGACCATTTTCTTTGTTGGAAACAAACTAAGATCTGAGTTCTGCTTTTAATCCGTCATCTGTTGGCACAATCCTGTCGTTTATCTTCTTGCTTCAACTGTGCCCCCAAATCAATTTTTCTCATCCTTAACATTTTTGCAAACCTTAGCTTTTTTTTTTTTTCCTGCCACAGCCTCCCTGCAACCATTCTTGTCCACGCTCACTGCTCTTTTATATTCACCTTTGGTCCGGTGCCCACCTTTCTATCTTTCATGTACTCATCATTTTAAGATAGGAACTCGCCAGGGAACTCCCATGAGAATAAACAAGTTCCTCCTTCAACCCCCCACCCCACACCCGTCATGGAATTATAACAGGAAATTATCAAACTTCCTTTTTAAAAAAATTTATTGATTTTCTTACCTTTATTTTCTTACATTATTTAATTTATTATTTTATTTTCTTACATTTCTTAAATGTTGCTCATTTTTGGACACTATTTGATTCCCCCCCTCCAGGTGCCGTTCCCATAATTCTCCCACCACCACATCACCCTAAGAACCATCACCACAGTCCTTTGGGCTCTTCCCACTCCTTTTTTGAGCCCTCTGCCTCCCCCTCTCCTGCTATAGGTCTCAGAGCTATGGTCAGCTTGCAAGTATCAAACTTCCATTTTATTCATTCCCATACATTCTGCATTTTTGCACGTTCAGCCACGGTCTATGGCCAATGAAAATGCCTAACCCTTGCTGTCTGAACATTAGGGCATTGACCACAGCAATCATCTGGCCTTATAGCAGACCCATGAGCCAGGCAGGGCACACGTTAATGCCCCTACCTCACAACTAAGAAAGATAAATGTTGGGGAGGTTATAATGAAACTAAATTCCAGATTATTTTCCTCTTAGTCACCAGCAACAATTCTGTTTGTACCACAGGCTGGGCACTGTTTTTTCTAGACTGTGGGGACACAACAGTGAGTATAATAGACAATAATCTCATGGGACTTGCATCCTAGTGGACAGAGACCAAGCACAAACAGGTAAACAAATCAATAGCATATGGCAGGTGGTGATGAGGAGAAGGCATGTTACTTTATCAAGGCAAGTCCCATGGATGAAGTGACAGTTGAACCTCATGAAGGAAATGAGGGAACCAAGTAGCAGGTGGAGAAACAGGGGTGTTTCAGACAAAAGGAAGAGCTAGTGCAAAGGCCCTGGGATAGGATGTGCTTGGAGTCTTTGGGCAACAGCAAGAATGCCAGCGTGGTTGGAACAAAGTAAGTGAGTGAGCGTAGCAAGGGATAATGTCAGAGGGTCCAGATCATGCAAGACTGTCTGGGTTTTTGTAAGTTTTGGTTTTGATTCTAAGTCATATGGAAACTTCAAATTTTTGCATTTCAATAATCGAAACATCAGCGGTTCCAATGAAATGGATGAAAGGATTGTGGATCAAGAGTTCAATGTGGCCATGCCATTTCTTGGAGTAAAGACAACTGAAGGAGAAGCAAGTGAGGCTGGTGACAGAGGAGGCTGAGGATAGAGGGACATCTAGGGAACAGTCTAAAAGTTCCAGAGACGATGGAAAGATTTGGGAGAGCGGTGTGTAGCTGCAGAGAAGCATGACGCTGAGAACATCTTTCATGATTCCTGACTTGCATATCCACTGACTTCCTTGGCCACATCATTTGGAAGTCTTAGCTTGTCCAAATGAACAGGTTCAAAGTCAGTCCATGGGGGGTCTTGCGCCCTAGATGTGCACCTCCCTTCAATAACTGGCAAGGCCATCGTCCCAGTGCTCAGGCCAGAAACCTAGAGACCTTGTTACTCCTTCCTCTCTCCTTCACTCCTCCCACAATGCAATCTATCAACAAGTCCTCTGGTGCCTGCCTCTTCCTCTCCAGAGACCTCAAATCCAACTTCTTCTTTCCCCCCATTACCATCCAGGGCCTTCAACTCTTCGTGCCTGGTAGATGCAAAACCCTCCTCATTTGTACACCACCCTACTCAACTTTCTGACCTAGTCTTCACACAGCAAGCTAGAGTATTATATCTTTAAGCATCTATAGGATCACATCACTCCTTTTCTTAAAACCCTTGCAGAACATCTGGACCCTGACTGCAGATTTCACAGTTCCCCAGGCCAAGGTCTTTTTGGGACATCTTTGCAATACCCTTCCCTCTTCCAGGCTCTCTGACACCTTTCTCTGGCCTTGCCATCTGACGACCAACTCGGATGCCTATTGAGTCACAATCTACCTTTCTCAGCTTCATCTTGGCACCACCTGGGTCTACCACAGCATTCATTGCTGAAGCCGAAAGGTCTGAGCCATGAGGAATCCTGTTCTAAATATATATTTTTTGTTTTGTTTTTCTTTTCGTGTTTGTGTTCGAAGATAATTCTTTTCCTGTTTGGATACTCACTGCATCATTTTATCTTCAGAACATAAAAGGCAATTTTAGATGGTGTCTGTCGGTGGGTCTCTTTTCCTTATTTTTCTTCCTGAAAAAATAATGAAATTTTTCATTTAAGAACAAGAAAATTTTTGCTTGTTATGACATTCATAATTCAATATTCACTGCATGTCATCTCCCCACCCCGTTTTACATTTTACGTCCACCGGTTATGGATTTTCCACGCTGAGGAAGAGCAAGTAAATCTCGGGAATTGAAAGCCCCTCTCCTCGGTGATCACGGGCCCCCAGCATGACTTCCCTTCTGGGATGGCTGCACTAGAAGCATCCAGCATCCATTCAGAGGGGGATGCAGCCCCATCCTCAAGGAACAGAGGAGTGGAGGGACACGGGCTGGAAATAAGAAACAAGATTAGAGGAAATATTCCACCCTTGATGGCCTCTTCGGCTTCTGAGTAAGAAAGATCAAAGTTTGTCTTTATTTCCACATCAAAAAATAAAAATAAAAAAACACCAGGGGCCAAAAAATGTCACTGCTAATTCAATTTTCTTTTTCTAACATGTATGTATGTCACTCAGCACCTTTTGATTTTGTAGCCATCTGCCTGCTGCTATATTGTCTAATCCTGTTACAACTGAACTTTGTGGCCAGTTGCTTCGGACACACAGAGGAACCATCGAGACCTTGTGGGCTGCCCTCTCCCCGCAGGGATGACGGTGATGGAGTTTGGATTTACTGGTCTCCTCCAAACCTGGGCGAGAGAAACAGTCTTTGCAAAGTCTTTTCCCAAACGCCTTTCCGCCTTTTCTCTTTCTCGCTTTGTTTTCTGAATCAAGCAAGAAACTCGGGCACGGGAGAAGTGACATTTCAAGGGTTTCTCAATCACAGAAGTTATTTCCACAGGGCAAAATCAGAGTTAATTCCACAACGCCCAGAATTTAGGCAGAGTCACGGTTGAAATGGTACAGAGCCCTTTAAGGTCGGTGAAAAATCATTAAACATAAAGCTTCCAGAATTCGTAATCCGAATCTATAAGCAGATTTCCATACACTGATGGAGAGAAAACACAATTATCATTCATCACGAGTGTGGTATTGTCAGAGCATCTGAGCTACGGCCAGTCGTGCCACACACCCCAATTGAGACCCAGAGTGAGGGGGGATATGAGGCAGACACTGAACAACTCAGGGCCCCATCACCCCCTTGGATTCCTCTCTAGGCGTACAGGCCTCTGCAGAGTTGGGTAGTTCCGCGTGCATCTATGGCTTTGAACCAGGAAATTACCTCTATTGATTTCATGAGATAAATTTCCATCCTGTCTCCCTGCCCCCAAGCTAAATGCCAGCAAAGGCCCACATCTGAGCTGCTCCCTGCACTGGCCATTCAGCTGTGGTTTGGGGAACTTTGCTGGATAAGGGATGCGACGAAGGTATTTTTATTGCGATCACTTTAATTTTTAAATTTTTATTTATGAACTGTTTCATACATACAGTAACAGATATCTACGTTCTCAACACCCAACTCGTTCACAGGTGTTCACATTTTCCTATATTTGCTTCACACTCATTCACATACAGAATGTCACAGATAAAGCAAAAGACACCCCCCACCCTGAGCATCGCACACTCCATGTAAATACATCCAGAAGCTGGGCCTGGATCCTTCCGTGAATGTTGACTCACGTGGATGCACCTTTAAAATGGAGAGAAATGATGTTATGCTATCTGCAGCTTCAACATTATGATTTTGAGATTTCTCAAAATTGAAAATTTTAGATCTAGCTTTATTTTATTAAGCAGATAGATACAGGATTTTTCTTTCATTACATTTTAGACGTTCAATTTTCACTATTACAATGAACAAACAGTTATCTTTGTCTCCTTGTGTACAAATGTGAGCTTCTTTAGGGCTCCAGAAAGACTGCTTCTACACTGCCAGCAACACAGACACAATTTTTACAAAAAAAAATACCTATTCTTAAGGCATGCCATGCTCTTTGATAGCTTTTCCTGTTTTCCTTCTTCTTTTACCACTAAGGCAATTTAGTACCCTTTTGATTTCACAGCCAATAGAGGGCGGTGTCCAGCCCAGGGTAGATACCTAGAGACCACTGACTCCAAAAGTGCTGTTTTTCTAGATGCTGTTTTTCTAGATTTTCACTGCTAGTTATTTTTTGAGACTTGGAAAATTTTAATAAATATCCCATAAGTGCCTAACCAGAACATAGTCTAATTTTTAGGTTTTATATCCTCATCATATTCATTAGACAAAGCTTATGAGTTGTGATGTTTGAATCTTCAATATTTGTACTTTTTTTTTTTTCATTTCCTTGGTCCACCAGTTTCAAGAAATGGTTACTAAAATCTCCCTCCATGGTTGTAGGCCAATTTTTGTAATTCTCTCATATTTGCCTTATGTGTTTGGAAGCTGTATTGTTAGTTGCACCAACATTCTGCTGGTGAATTTTCCCTCAAATAATTATTTTTATCCCTAATTATGCTTTTCTGTATTAAATATTTTATCTGGTGCTACTATTGACACATCAGCCTTCTTTTGACTAATATTTACCTGAGCTATGTTCTCCTTTCTACCATTAGTAAAAATTACTATTTAGGTTTATCTCTAATCAATAGCAATTATATTTTTAAATCCAATCAAAAAATCTCTATGTGTTAACTGATGACAATGATCCAGGATTTTTTTTCCTTTTATATCTTCAAAAATTTTAATGAACTTACAGTATCATTCAGATTGCTGTCCTGTTACCTGAAATTTATTGAGTTGCTAATTTTTACTGTTTGTGGTATCTGCTGACTCTCCCTTGTGGTTGACAGTTTCTTCCTATGGTTTGTAGTTTGTTAATGACAGTTAAAGCCTAGTGAGTACTGTTTGTACCATGAGAGTCCCATGGAACCCAGGGTTATGATATGTTATTGCAGCATGGTTTTGCATTTATGTCTGCAGGGAACCCTTGGGGGTTCAGCAGCCTGGAACAAGTTTCAAAAGTAAATTTATCACTTTAGAAATCAGACACTTATCAATCATGTAAATTTGATTCTTAATGTTCACTGAGATATAGACTTGGCACTTCAACTTATCATGGGTGGGCTGATTTTGTAATTTTTCCATCCAGGGCCCTGATTTGTAACAAATTCCCCCATTTGTATTCCTGGGCAGATGGGCTTCTTCTAAGCTCCCTATCAGGGTTCTAACTTTGATTTGCTGAGACCTGTGTTCAGTGCCTCCACCATCCTGGTGGGGACATCCTGGAGAGACTAGATAGGGAAGGATTTGTTTTTCAATGGCCAGCGATGCTGACTTCAATACAGAACGTTCTCTCCACTCACCATGACACAGACCACTGTCTCCACCATCCCCAAGGTTAATTCTTTTTCTATTAGCCACAGGTATACATTTCGAACTTCAAATCCAGGTGTGCAGTAAATATTCCTTGTTCCTCCCAACTCAGCTCTACACTTTCTTTTCCTCTGAACTGTAGAAAAAGTTAATTAACTTTGTTCCTTTCTCCGGTGTTTCACATCTGTGTCTTTTGCATCGAGTGACTGCTGCCTTTGGTCCTGGGTCATCTGTCCATCCGTCGTCCTGTCTGCCCAGCTCCCTTTCAAACAGCCCTCTTTGGGTTTCTCTGTAATGCTTGGAGAGTGAGGCTTCTGTGAGGCTTTCCATGGTCCCATCTATCTGGAATTCCACACTATCTTTCTGCTCTGAGTTTTTGTGATTTCTCCCAGCAGTACTGCTGGAAAGTGGGGTTCATTTTGGATGCTCAGGGATAAGCCAGTTGCTCTTTCTTTCTCTCTCTTTCTCTCTCCCTTTCTTTCCCCCTGTCTCCTACTGATGCTGCTCATCCTTTTCCTCCTCCTCTAGCACAGCAGACTCAAGTTTACCAACATAGTGTTCTTAGATCCCTCTTCCCTAAAAGATTAAGATTTTGAGAGAAGAGCCCCCCAAAGAAGCTTTCTTTTCTGATTTCCACTCCACTTCAAATGTCCTATGAGGAAAGAGTCGCAGAGACTGATCCCTGATCAAATAGGGGGAAGGAAGTAGGAGAAAGGCAAGGGAACTTTGTGGGAAAGAAATAAACCTTAATACCTTATAACATCTTCCTAGAGTTGTGATTAAGATTCTTCAGTTTTGGAGTGTGAGCTGCCCAGCTTCAAATCCTGGCCATACCACAGCTAGTAATGTGATTTGGGATGTCTCTTGGCATCTGTTTCTTCATTTTAATTGAGGGGTAATAAGATGACTTGCCCTGTAGGTTTGTTTTGAGCGTACATGGGACGGTGGATGAAAAGCGTTTATGTCACTACCTAGCACACGCTAATTTAATTAACAGCAAGTAGTTATTTTTATGAACACAGTAGTTGTCAGGATTCACTTTCCACTTGGAACTGCATGACCTAGGATGAGTTATTTAAACTCTTGATCCCTCTATTCCTTGGTGTGTCACAGATTGCAAGGAGGGGCATCATTTTTAAGGGCAGTACCACACACAACATGAACAATTTGGGGGTTGGGCACTGCCCTTCACAGTCAACAATCCACAGATAACTTATCTGTATCCATGGGTTTCCTATCAGAGGTTGGTTGAATTGATAATGGGGATCCCCATGTAAGTGGACCCTGGAAGTTCAAAGCTGCATTGGTCAAGAGCCAATCATACGTTTAGCCCATAACATGCTCTCAATTACGCACCCAGTCCCCTGGATGACACCTGGTCCTGATGTTGAGTGTTAGGGTCTCATACTCTCTTTCTTTGTGAGGAAAGAGATGCTGCAGAGATTATGACCCTCCTCCCAGGGCCAGCTGCAGCCAAATCCTGGCTAACGTAGGAGGCGGCAAGGGAGGGTTGGGCAGCCCCTTCCTCAAGACAGTACAGACTCAGGTGCAATTCACACCCCAGAGGTCCCCACAGGATTGAACCAGGCCAGAATGAAGCCACAGAAATGAAATCTTTGTCCAGTTTCTTATTCTGTTTTATCCTGCCTCCTTGCTTCCTTACCAGTTCCTCCAGAGAACAACCTCGTCATTAGTACTAGAAGCCCCTTGTGAGGTTTGCTTTTATGCACCTAAGACAGAGCCCATGTTCATAGCAAGGCTCTTTAACACACATATGTCAAACACCAAAGGCAAAGTTCTTAACTTCTGTATTATACTTTTATCTTTCTCTAAATTAAAAATACTATATAAACACACACACACAAATGCCTAATATGAAATGAGTGTACAAGGCATGCTGGTTGGTTGGTTCATTATTCATTCAAAACATATTTGTGGAGGACTCATTCTGTGACAGACAATGTTGTAGGATTGGAAATCATACATGTAGGTGTGTTTTATAATGTGGATCTCGTAATGACATTAATAACTTCTATCTATTAGTAATTTATTGTATGCTAGATTCTACCTACTTAATGCTAATTCTTTAAATATTCTATCTACTATAACAACACTACAAAACTGACATTATTTTAGCCTTTTGTGATAAGGCAGCTAAGATCCTGAAAGGTCAAATAACTCGTCCAAGGTTATACAGCGAGGAAGTGGTGAAGGCAGGATTCATAACGAGGTTTCTCCACAACCCACACTCTTTTATTAAGACTTCACTGACTATTTTATTGCCCAGAATTTCAGCTACCTATTTAAATGTCTACACACACACCAAGCCCTCCCCTGCCAACTAGATTTGAGTTAATGGCAAGGAAAGATCTTTTTCATTTTGATATCCCCAGACCTAAGAAAATACTTGAAATAACAGTTACCCAGAAATGTCTGCTGAATGAATGAGTGAATGAATTAATGGGAATAATGGTCAGGACTTGCAGGGAGGAAATGAAGGAGGAGGTGATCTCTTTCCAGAAGAAGGCTGCACTCGCTCTTCCCTGCAGGACACCAGTTAGTTTCTGGTTTTCCATCCCAGAAAAGGAGTCAGGCTTATAATACAACGTAGCTTTTAGTAATCCATTTCATTTTAATTCAAAAAATACTTTTCTGTGCGTCTCAAATGGGAGCGCTGATTGTCAGCTCCCAGCTAACAGCCAGGCTTGCCTGAGCAATCAACCTCGGGTGAGGCTGACAAAGCCCATGAGTCGAAACCAGTGTCCTGGATATTGAGAGCCACTAAAGAGGAAAAACAGCAGGGAAAGGGGCCTCCCTGGTGGCCTAGGGGTTAAGTCTCAGCCCTACCACTGCAACGGCACTCCACGGTGGCCTGGGTTCGATCCCCAGCCCGGGAGCTGACACACATGGCACAGCAGACCTCTCCTGTCTCACTCGCTCCCCTCTGCAGTGTATTTCAGTGGATCTGCCTGTTCTGCTCCCCACTCTGTCTCTAATGAGTCCTCTCACCTGTCTGCATCTTACTTTTCTTCTATACAAAATAATTCTTTAAAAAAAAAAAAAAAACAAGGTCAAAAGAGTAACCAGCTAAGGGCAAACCAGGCTGCCCAAACTTCTGGGCATAGTTTGGCATAGTCTGGTATCCCAAAAGAGACTGTGCGTTTCTGCAGAAGTTCAGACATTTAAGACAGGCTTCAGGAATGGTGCTTGGTTGGAATTCAGCAGAAAGCATCCAGTTGAGAGAGAGTCTATAGACTAAGAGGCAAGTAGATGCTTTTTTCTAAAGGCTAGACAAGATAGCATCAGACACAAGCATCTATTAGATGATTTGCAAGCCCCTTATCTCCGAGAATCACCTGTATGACTGTGCAAATCTACAGGGTTTCCATCGCAAGATACTGCTCGTGGCCGTCAGGAACTGGGTCAGGGCTACATGCTTAGCCCAAGCTGAGCCAGTTGGACTCTCTCCTGAAAAACTATACTGATGGACCCAGAGTGGAGAGGTTGGAAGCTACGCTGGCCCACGGCAGAGCCAGAGAGAAGCAGCTGGTAAGTCCTGTCACTGGTCCCTGCAATTTCTTGAGTTGCTTGTTCATCTTTGCCTTGGATTCCAAACTCTACTCTATCCTCCGGATACTTTCCTTTCTCACTTAAAGTAGCAAGATTGGGTTTCTGTTAGCTGCAATCAAAGAGTCTTAACTGAAACACTGCCAGATGAAAGTGGAGGAGAGACAGTGCAGCTGCCTTTTATCTGTATTTATCCTTCCTTTGGTGTATTTTCCTCTGATTCTTAAGAGGGAAATAGAGGAGGCTTCTGACACTTACAGTCTGGTGGGAGAGACAGACATACACAAATCATTTCAATACAATGCGGTAAGTGCTCTAATAGAGGTATGATGAGAGTGCCGTGGGAGCAGGAGGAGGAATTGTCTAACTCTGCCTGGGGGAGGGGGGTAGGGGAGGCTTCACACAGAGCTGAGTCTCTGAGGATGGGTGGGAGTTATGATATACTGATGTATTATCAGGAGCACCAGAAAATTCTTAACAGCTTTTTCTTAAAAAGATAAGCGATAAAAGAGGAAATAGAGTAAGGCATAATTTGCTTCTGTCTTTAAGAGATGTTTCAGTCGAGATGGTCTAGGTTTTCCTATGATAATATATTAACCCTAGGATTTCAGTGGATTAACCCAACAGGTTATGCTTCCTCCTCACCGTACATATCCAGCAAGGTTGGCAGTGGGCGGGCTGTGCTCCACACAGTTACTTAGAGGCTCAGGGTGCTGGAGACTCTGGCATCTTGTTGCTGTACCAGCTAATAGAACTCAAGGGCTCCATGATCATCATAAGAGAGACATTGTGACAATTGCATGCTATGAGCAGAAGTAACTTCTACTCCAGCTTATTGTTCTGCACTAATCCCATGGCCCTGCCCAAAGTAAGGACTGTACCATATCACCCTCCAGGGTGCCCAGAAGACGATGAGGACCAGAAATCACTCCCACAGAAGAAGACCGCCATTTTTATCCCTGGATCTGAGTCTTTTTTTTTTTTTTTGTGGGACCCTCGCTGGCGGCCAGGGAACGAACCAGCCACGCAGAGACTGCGGGCAGCCTCGCAGCCCAGCGCTCAACTGCTGCGCCACCAGGGGAGGCCCTGAATCTGAGTCTTAATCCCTACCATCAAGGAATATGCATTTTATTGTGGGATACATTTAGTGACTACCACAAAACAGGTGTGAGTTGAGTGAATCCATACTCTCACCCCAGCCCCATGTAAAAGAAGTGACCACTCTTAAGGCAGGTGATCCAAATTTGGGAAAATAAATTATAGCAGCAATTATCAGTTCTACACCTTGAACACAATTACTGAAAGACAGAGATAGGATTAAGCGGAAAAGAATGTAGTTGTTGAAACTCCAAATCCTATGGGAATGCGGATTAGCTAACTGTTGCTATATAACAATATCACCACAAACATAGAGGCTTAAGACAGCTCACAATTACTACCTCAGTTTCTCTTGCTCAGGAGTCTGGACCCAGCTTAGCGGAATCTCCTGCTTCGGAGTCTAATGAGGTTGACATCAAATTGTCTGGGGCAGAGTCAGCTCCCCACACTCATAGAGTTGCTGGTAGGATTCAGGTCCTGAGGGCTATCAGAACGAGGAACTCAGTTTCTTGCTGACTATTAGCCAGATGCAACCCCCACTCCCAGCTGTTTGTTGATTAGGAGCTGCTCTGAGATTGTGCACATGGGTCTTTCCAACATGACCACTTGCTTCGCCAAAACCAGCAAGGGAAGTTGGTCTGCTGGCAAGACAAACACTATGATCTATGCAGCATAGTCATAGGGTGATGTCCTGTAACCTCTGTTGTCTATTGGTTAGAAGTAAGTCATGGGTCCTACACACACTCAAGGGGCGAGGCGGGAGGAATTATGCAATGGAGTGAGTACCAGATGGGAATAATTTAGAACCATCTTAGAGCTCACCCACCACAGGCTACAAAAAGAGAAATATTAGATCACTGAAGTTGAGTCATAGGGGAAGCCAAATCAGAACAGTGTGGGTCGGGGTGAAGGAATCCCCCAAACCAAACCCAATGGAGTAGTGATCTCACCTTTCTGCCAAATAGTTCACCCCATGGATCTTTCTAAGCATGAGTGTGATTAATCTGGGGCAGGACACTAAAACTCAAATGTACCCACAAGGACCAGACAGGTAACATAATACATACAGCTGAAAAGGTAATAGGGAAAGGTGGGGACTGTGGCAAATGACCACACACAGTCTATCAGAAAGGACAATCAATGGCAGCTCAGGGGAATGTCACCTATGTAGCAAAGCCAGTCAATTCTGCTAGAGAATGTGTCATGGCATGGGGGGGCAGGTGGTGGGGAGACCAAAGGACAGCACTTTTGGTGGTATTCCCTACCCCATCTCCTTGCCAAAGATGCTTACACTACAATGCCAGGCATGCTGCAAACCAGACGGCCTGAATGGAGAGGGGCCGGAGGCAGCTGGGAAGAAGGAACGAGCAGTGTGGCCACTGTGGCGGAAGGGGGACAGGGATGCAGCGTGCGTGCAGAGGGCCCTCCTGGTTTTTTACCAATGCCGGCCTCAGTTTCCCCCAGCCAATCAAAGGAAACAGAGTTTGAGAAGGAAAGTGGTTTAATTTGTCAACAAACTGAGGGTAGCACACTGAAAGACCTCCATCCTGCCCTTTGGCAGAGGGCAGGGGTATTTATACAAAGGAGTAAAAAAGGGGGGAGATGAGGCAGGGTAGGTATGTCCTTTGATGCAGGCATCTGGAGATTCCTGGGGAGATTTGGGTGGTTTATTTAATACCTGCTGTTAAATTTCCACATTATCTTCTTGGGAATATCCTTTCTTTTCCATAGAGTACAACAGGACAAACTTGTTAAACAAGGAGGGTAAATGCAAGAGGAAGGGATGCTTCTCTGGTGGGGCAGGAAGAGACGCCTGTCTCAATGCATTGGTTTTTCCCTCTGGCAGCTTTGGCAGTGGCAGGACCCAACTCTCTTCGGAAACTATGGCAGCCACCATCTGGGCCCTCTGGTGGCTTCGCTTAAACATATATTTGGCTCACTCTCCTCTCCCACCCTCTGGGCCTGTGCAAACCCTGCCCTGTATTTTCTGCCGGAAGTGCCTGCAACTGGTTCTCCTGGTGACTTTGCTTTGGGGACTGGCCTGTTCAGCTGTGGGCCTGGCCTGTTTGCCCACAAGAGGATGAGTGACTGCAGAGTGTGATTGGGAGTCTGTCTTCAGATCCTTCCCTCCCCTCTGCCTCTCTCTACCCACCCCACCCTGTATGTATCCACAGATGACGAATCTCTGAGCACATCAGAGTTCCATTGCTTTGATGCACGTGAACCCTTAGACCAAGCAACATAGGTTTTTCTTCTTACCAGTCTGGGGTCCCTGGGTACCTGTGGTTTTGCCTGGTATCAGTGTTGGGTCCCTGACTAGGAATGAGCCTCCCAGTGTCCTTTCTGTAAGAATCTCTTATTTTGCAAAGAGGCCCTCAAACCACAATTGTACATGAAATTTCCCAAGATTTAAAAATTACTCATGGACTAAGCAAAACACATGTGTAAGTCACAGCCAGGCCCCAGGACCCCCAGTTTCAAACCCTGAACTGGCATTTCTGTGCCTTTTGCAGGGATACAGAGCAAAGTCACTCGCTGAATTCCAAGCTACGGTCTTCCCCTCTGCTAGCTCCTGGCTGTTACAAACGTGTTCTCTTCTCTTCTGAACTTCTAATTCTGTGAACTCTCCACACTCAAAGCAGTCCAGCTTGCTGATTAGTTTTAAATTTCAGGAGCTTTAAAGGCTCCAAATTTGGAGGTAAGCGGACTCTCATTAAGAAGTCATTTGATAAAAATTAATCCCTCTAGGAATATCTTGGACTCAGAAGAAAGCGCTGACTCTCTCATTAGCTGGTTGTAAGTGCTCAGTCCACCTTGGAGACCCCAATCCTCTCTGGGTTTGACTCTGAGGCTCCAAACAGCTGCCATAAAGTCTGGGGACCACACACCAGTGATTCTGAAATCACAGGAAAAGATGCAACAGAACATCGAACTCAGAGGTTGCAGCCAGCCCGGCCCTGCGAGCCCCACTCCTCAGATTTAATCATTTCCTCTTGAGCCTGAGGATGAAGGGACAGATTTTCCTCTTACTGAGTAGATTCCAGGGCTTACCTCTCCTAATCCTTGCAGATCTGTCACTGACCCAGCAAAGAGCATAACTAAACATGCAGAGTCTGCAGGGAGGGCTCCTGGGTGGGCAGCCCTTGGGAGGAGACACCACTTTGACTCATCTGGGAGACATCTGCACCCCAGGCCCCAGCGGGCCACTGGCCTGTACTGGCTACCTTCTCCCTTGGGGTGGGGCAACCTGTCCCCAGGGGCCTGTGACTCCTTCCAGAACAGGCCTTGAACTTTAATTCTGACGAACCCTGTTATAAAAGCTTTTACGCAACTCAGTGGTTGTTTTTGAAGCCAAGTGTCTTTTTCTTTTCTAAATGTCTCTGTTTTTAGGCTTTGAAGAGATGTTACATGCATATTTTTTTTAAGTCCAAACAGAACAAAAGGGACTCCCAAGAAAGAGTCAGTCCCCACCCCTACCCCTGGGCTCCCCTTCCTGCCCCTGGGCACTGCTATGTGTTTCTTGGGAAGAAAGATGGCTGTCTTTGAATTTTCTAATTTGGTCTCAAAAATAGCCAAAGGCCAAATAGGGCCCACAATAATGTAATTAAAATGAGTGATGAGGTTCTAGGCAAAACTTGGCATGGGGACACAAAAGATCACAGAAGCAAATTCACACCCACGGGAAGAAATCAGTGTGTGTGTAGGTGTGCGTGCGGGTGCAGAGTGTGCATGTGTGTTCTGTGACGCGCGTGTGTGTGCGTGCATGTGCATGCGTGTGAGCCTGCGTGTTTGATCCCCCATCTCTCTGAAAATTCCGGTCAATTCTATAAACATTTATTGCATGCTGTGTGCCAGGGCCTGTTCCCAGTGCCGGGG